CCAAGGATAACCCTTAAGTTTTCATTCCCTCCTTACACAATATCGTCTATTTTAACTTCGGATCCGTACCCAACGTAACGACCAGAACCAACGTGTTGTGATCTGAATTTAGGAAATCAATCTTAGTTTTCTACCCTACAGATGACCAAATCTACCTTGAATTATTCACAGTTCAAAAATACCCTGACGACAGCAAAAAGACACTTATTTGTAGTTAAATCTGAGGTACTATTTAACAATCATAATGTGTCAAGACGTGAAACTGCCCCAGTAGTTCTCTTAGGCGGCTACACATATCCAACAGTTTCTTGACTACAAAACAATTATTATACAACAGAATTATTCAATCAAAATTGACTGTAAGGATTACCTGAGAATCAAGAAGAATATTCTCACCAAGGTGGGATCTAAACTTTGTCAGTAAGAGTCACACACCAAAAAGTTCCCGCGGAAAGTCGAAGGTCAGAATGGCCTTGACCCACTTAAAGTCACTATCAATACCATCACAAAACCACAGAGAAAAGCATGAGAATTAGAGAGTAAACAGCAATAAAGAAAAATACTAAGGATTAAATCAGTAGAAGACATGCAAACGTTACGGCGGCGATAGGTAGTCTAAGAGAAAAGATGAAAATAATAACAAAATTACTTGGAAAATCCAAGTAGTAGGTCGTTTAAGGGGATTTCCCAAATAAATATTTCCTTACCCCTAACTCATTGTTTCTTATTCAGATTCTTCTCGAAGGCCTGCTCGGCGTGCGATGCCACTCAGTAGTTTTGTCAGCATACATTTGCCACAACAGACCTGGTGAATTTCATTGGGATACAGTGTCATATTAGATAATTTATGGAATATAACTAGAGGTCGATTAGCAATGAACTCACGATCAGTATTCAGAATTTGAGCTTGTGAGGAGTTAATTAATTTTAATGTGGAAGTCGTCACAGAGTGAATTCACTTAGAGAGGTTCAGTGTTTGCCGAAGTTATTTTCTTTCACTAGGAACTATACCACGAGTAGAATGAAGTTGGAATTCATGGGCCATTTCAATCCTTATTCATTGTTTCTGAATGCTTAAGTGTTGATTTTGTGAATTGAAGTTCCTGCGCTTTAACACTGGTGGGAAAATGCATGCACATTGCTGGAATCAATAACTTAGACATATTACCTGTCCAGTACTCAGTACAGTTTTTAATAACTCACGAATCGATGTGAATTCATGGTGAAGTCTTTTTTCGTAATAGTATCAGGTGGTTGGAGGGAAAACCCACAAAACTCTATCAGCCTGAATTTCGAATTTATTGACACTAGTCAGCAAGGTATATCCGCAGCTTCGAAGGAAATGTTGTCCCATGTGAGATTCCAGACTCACATCTGGCAGTACTGCACACAGAGACCTTACTACTGAGCTATTCAGCCTCACGATTAACTTCATTTAGGACCACAATGGCCTACATTGATTGGTTCTTACAAAGTAATTAATTCAAAGCACATCTCAGTGGCGAGTCATTTAGCTTGGTAACCATACTGCGAACCTGCGACTGATAGTCAGCACCAACACTACTAAAAACTATACATACGACACTGGTTACTCGCTGGTGACTAATCACTGAAATCCGCCTTGAAATGAATCGAATCATGGATTGTTATTAGTTAGAGAATCATCAATTACTAAGAAGTACTGGACAATTATTTCGTCCTAGTTTGACACTCTCCAGGAGCACGCATGACCACACGGAAAATTGCACCTAGAACCTTTAGATTAAGAGGGGAGCCACTGATTATCTAGCCAGTGAGACGGGATCCAGTGGCCAGTGAATTCTAATCGTTGTCAAATTCCTACAAACTAACACTGGAAAACTAATTTCTGCCGATCTATCCATCTTATTCTCACTATCACACGCACTGATGCACAAATGAATGAATACGAATAAATAATATATTTATAATCTGTATTTTTGTAAATTTCTGATAATGTGAAATTATTTAAATCTTTTAAAATATTCACTGTTATTTTGTATATATATTCAGATTAGATTAATAATTCATTTTGTTTAACCTTTCAGTATCCAACTGTCTCATGTAGGCATTTAAATTTAAATATGGCGGGAAAACGGCGGCGCCAACATTGGTTCTTTTGCATCGATTATCGTTTGGCTTTATTCTTAGAAAGACAGAAATGAATAGCTTACTAACTAACTGAATATATATTTAACTTGCTAAATGAACATAAATTATCTGTTTTCTGTGTACACAAATAGGGAAACAGTGCTGTGAAAATCGATATACAAGGAGAATGACAAAAAGAACAAGGGTGAGAAAGTTACACAGAGACACAGAAAGGCAATGAGTCACTTTTCAAAAGAGATTCTAATTTAAACAAAACTATGCATTCGTAATTCTTAATTTTTCGGTTAATTTTGCATTTCCTCGTTAACTGATTATGTTTGACTGAAATTCTAGGTCTTTCTTTACATGATGGCTCCTAGTATGGACGCTTTATCAATGCCTAAGGATTAATGTTAAGTTATTTTGGCCTGTGGCATTTGAGATGATAGGCACAAGGTTCGAGTTTCCGTGGGAACACTATTACTCAATGGGAATTGGTGTACGTTCAGATGACGAGTCATAATTAGGGTGAAATGCGTATCCTCCATTCTGTTGCTAGTCACTGCCAACCAAAATATTTGTTATTCTCCTTTAGATGATGGACAGATAAGTGACTAGTGGTTCAATGTTATTGTCACTTCAGCTGTGGGACCAGAATACTCATGACCAGGCTATCAACTTACTGCAGCCATCAAAGGAAATATTCAGTTGTCATTTGAGTAAATGAGATTTGACTTTCCGTTTGTTTGGGACTCTTCAATAGCACACACCTATAACTGCAACAGGGATTAAACCTAGAACCGTTAGCTTACAAAACAAGTCCACTGACTATTCGATAGGAGGGATGGAATCTGACGGCATGATGACTAGTAACTGATTACAGGATAAGTTGCCTGAAGTTCTAGTGGGAAGTCATGACCAACGTGGTCATTGCAGCTTGATTCCACACAGTATTTTGGTACAAGTATGGAGTTTTCAGCATTTGATGCCGGTAGCCCAAATTTAGTAAGCAGGATCTCATTCGGAATAACTATCATCTCGCTCCCCGCTAGGAACACAATCACTTATCCGCGATACAGTTACTTCCAGCTGATGACGAGTTCCATAAAGGACACGCTCAACCTGCTAACTACCATAAAACAAGCAAATTATTACATACCGTTATAATAATCCATGAAGAAACAGAGAAGTAAGCCTATGAAATGTATTATTGTCATTATATAATTATGTTATATAATTATTTTATATTATTATATTATATTATTATTGTTTCCTTTAGTTCCTAGGGGAACATAGGGCTTCAGTCGCCCGTCCCCATTGCGTTTGGTTATCAGGCAACGTTTCCATCTGGCCCACATCTGCCCACATGCCTTCATCGCCCCTTCACATGACTTCCCATATATAACCTTCGCACTGACGACCAACTAACCACCTCCTATTCGGGTCCAACTCAAGCGATGGCCTGGCTTGTGATGTCATTTGATCGTTTTCTCAGAGTATGGCCGATTCGCCTGCATTTATTCCTGCATATTTGTTGCAGAATCGGTTCCTGGTTGGTCCGTTCCCAGAGATCCATCCCTGTTGCTTATCTTTTCGGGCTGGCCATCGCATCCTGAGTGGTATTGAGCGAAGACAGCTGTTGATGAAAGTCTGTAGTTTGTTCGAAGTGCCCTTCGTGACGCGGCACCAATCCTCTGATCCGTATATTGAGTAGCACTGACTTCACATTGGAGTTGAAAATCCGAATCTTATTTTCATTTTCATGCTGAGTGCTGTTGATTTCCACACAGGCTTGAGGGTAATGAAAGCTTGTCTAAAACAATAAGGCAAACAAATTTGTGTGTCTGTGCAAAGTTAGTTAGGACTAACACACACACACACACATGCAATAAGTGAATGGATAAAATAAACAATTGAAAGAAAGGAAACTATCAATTCTTAATTTCTTCGAAGTTGGAGATACGATGATAGCAATTCCATTCCATATGCTTACACTTATTCCTAACACTTCTACACTATATCTTCTCATTTCTTCTACAATCTGAGCAGCCTTCCTGACAAGTTTCAAACATCTTGCATACATTCCATATCCCTATGATTATTTTTGCTTCGGCTGAAAGAAGACACATCACCTGACTGATTTCTTGAAGACTTTCATCAGTCAGTGTATTTTTACTTCAGCTGATTTCTAGCAATTTATGAAGTTAATTTTTTAAATATTTTTTTGTCTTTGCTTTAAAGTTTCTGTGGCAGTTGGAAGGATTTTCTGAGGTAGGTTTGCTAACCCACACATCTAGATTCCCTTCATTTTTTTATGTGGAGGACGGGCCAATAAACAAGGCAAGGTTTTCTTTACTGTAGTACTCTCTCTGTGATTACTTTCCGACATTCTCAAGTGGCAACAATTGCACTAACCAAACACTGTTGGAGGTCACTGGTTTGTATACTTCAATTCTTATTACAATTTGTTGTATAACTCAAGAACTTACATCTACACATCTGTGTGATTTATGTAAACAAGGTTACACGAATAAACCAGTGCGATTAGACTACAGATAATGTTTGACCCAAAAATAGTAAACCTTTGTCTAAACTTTAAGGTAATATACTTACTATATTTGAAAATATTCTAAATTTATTTGCTTCTGTCAGACTTAATTTATTGCTTACATGCACACATATTCACTTTGTATAGACCATGAGTGTGTAAGTGTGTGTGGGTGTATTTGTTCACAAGACATAAAACAGACAAAAATCTACAGACTAAATCCTGATTGGTTAACGCTGCCTCCGATGTAGCCTGTATTCATTCTGACCAATCAAATTGCTCATAGTGTATACGAGTTGCTAGTTTTGTTGCTTTCAGAAGAAATCGGAAAAAAATTTTGTGGTTAGCTCGTTAACTAGTTGAATGACGGTGAGGGTGGCTGTAATCAGTGGGGAGGAGGGGGGAGAAGAAGGGTGTAACTAGTGTGGAGAAACTGGTTGACAATCAGGTTAATGTAAAAATTTTCAATTTTATGTTTTCACTGCTATGGTTGTTTTCGTTTGAAAAGGATAACTGGGAAAATTCACAAACTTATACATCTACATAATATTTAAAAACCTGCTGATTATAATACTTCCTATCATCATCATAATACGCTAAAAGGACGAGATCAAATGAAGAAATGGAATACTTTGGATTACCATTACATAACAAAGGCTTCATTTAAATAGTCAATACATGTATTATCAAATTTGTTTAAAGTGGTAAAAATCAATGAGTTTAAATGAGTGGGACTTTTGAAAACATACAAACACACTAGTCCATAAACATTGCTGCTACTGACAGTGATCATTATGCCTAAAGCAGACTGAAGAAGGTCAAAAGATCGCTCTAGATACACAAATATATCGCACGCTTTTGATCATATTTATCTATATATCAGATAAAGCATATAATAAACATAAAAAAATATGTTTCGAAAGTTTATTTCTAAAGTTTCTCATTTAGTTGCACTATTATTTATTTTATTATGTTGTAATGAACTACTCCTTGGACGATATTCTCTCATATCTAATATATTAGCCATGAATGGAATTAGACCAAGATATCCAATGCCTAATAATTTCAATGTGTATACATCAAGTGTTAGGCAATCAGAGAAGGCAGTCAGTCATAATAACCCAAACAGCAATAGTAACAATAATAATAATAACATACAAACAATGACAAAGTCAACAGGACTTAAAGCACCATCAATGGTGACAACGATGAAAATCAATGAACCACAAATTGAGCTGATCTCGTCATCAAAAGCTTATTCATTAAATGCATCTAACAGTATTGATCGAAATTTTAAATTTACTAACCATCCAGTCGGTGGTTATGGTCTAGTCTCATCAGCACAAAATCATATCAATTTAGAATCACTGTCTCAGACAACAAAATCACCATTGATAACTGTTGACAAGAATTCGCCAACAATTATCACTAATTCTTTGATTAAGCCATCAAGTGATTCGCGTAAAAGAAGTCAAAAAGACAATGAAAAGTCGGAATGGCCAAGTTCAATGGCTTCAGAGGAATATAGTAAAATAAATATGCGTATTATGGGACAACCAATAGATCCAAGTGTTGTAAATCACCTACATCCCGACGTTTCACCGCATAAAGCTAAAAAGCTACGAAAAATTCTCTCTGGTAGCCTAGATAAAGACTGGACATCAGAAACCCCGCCAAGAGTGTTAAGACAACGTGGATTATCTGGTTCAGTAATGTCTAATGATAACGCAAATAAAAATAATATCGATGAAAACTATTCATCATTGGATACAAAATTACTAAAAGAAATTAAAGAATTGAATTTTACATTTCGTAATTCTTATGGAGTTTATTTCACGCTGAGTGAAGAACAAATCCAGCCTTACAGATATTGGTTACTTGAAAGAGCCACTTGTGAAATGGATTTTATCTGGGAGGATTTAGGTCCATTATTCTGGCCAAGATGGATACGTAGAGGTGTATGCCTTAATCGACCAGGTCATTCATGCTCATGGCCATCAGGTATGAAATGTCGACCATCTGGTTCAAGAGCACTTCAATTATTACATTGGAAATGTGAAGATGCTGCTCAAGTTCAGTCTAGAGAGCATGCAGCTGATCAGCGTATACGTCGACGAGTCGCGATGAACACTTTTCATTCTGGTTTCTATGAAATGGAACCCGTGTCGGAAACGGTTACAAATAAACAGAAACGTGATACAACATATGCACGTTTAAGTCTTCGAGACAGTGGTCTACAGCAACAACAGCAAGCAGAACGACAACGACAATATCAACACAGTGAACAAAACGCCTATCGTAAACTTCAAGCCAGGAATCTTGTCAAGAATTCATGGACAAGAAGTATAAAGTCATCTGAATTATTATTATCCTCACCGTCATCATCATCATCATTATCATTATCATCGTCACCGACTACACTGCACTCAGATATCAATGCAAAGGATGAAAAACGACGACGTCGTGCAAGACGATTAATTAAACGCTTAAGTGTTACAGCAAATGGATATCATTGTTACTGGCAAGTACAAAAATATTTGATTAGTGATCGTTGTTCATGTTCATGTTCATAATTGGAGAACTTTTTGGTTGGTTCAAAAAAAAATACCAAAATAAAAACCCAACAATAAAAGCACAAATTATTGAAACATTCATTCCCCTATTATACTGATAATAGTAGAGTTAGTGTGTTACACAGCGTTCGATTCTATTCAATGTATACAGTGAATGTCATTTCAAAAAACGCCTTGGCTTCTCTTTTACAATCGACAGTGTATTAGTTATTAACGATTATTTTGGTCAGTGTTTGTGTTTGTGCTTATGTGTGTGGGTGTGTGTGAATGTGTTTGATGTTGTCTTTGTCACAGTATTGACTTTTGCTGTTACTACCTCAAATTTTAAATTTTCTAATTGATAACATTATATTTAAGATTATGGGGTAAATTCTGGTTTTGAAAAACCCGCTCTTATTCACAATTGAATATTGAACAAACTACAAACATTTTAAAAATCTCTCCTCTCTTAAGACGTAAACACTATAAATTAATAAGCTAAACACAGTTTCAAAGTATGGAAAATGCAAACAACGAAGAAGGATAACAAGGACTCCTCCATTTTGTCTTTTCTTTTTTTCTGTTCAATGCGTATCAAAAGAATATCCCGGTAATGTCTGATGATAAAATAACAATATACCGTTTTTTTCAGTTTTAAATCTACCCTGTAGGGTGTTTATGTATTTGAAATTACACATTAAACTCTATGCAATAAGCACAGTAATTAACCCTTATGTGTAGACAATAATGAAAGAAAAAGTGTACAGTAATTCAACAAGATAATTAGTCATTTAATTTATTTTCAGGGTAAATGAAACAATTTAATTATTTATTTATTTATTTATTCATTAATTATAATTATGCATGCTGATTCATTAATTATGTTCTTAAATATTCATTCATTCATTTATTCATTGTATGCATAAGTACTTTTGCAAAAAACATTACCTCTTTCCGTGTGTATGTGTGTGTATTCATTGGTTTGCCCTATTCAACTCTATCTGATCTCATGTTCATTTCTGCGCATATGATATATATTGATTTATTGATTAATTGATTGATTGGCAAATTAGTTTTATTGTACTACTACCTATTGATGATAAGGAAACAACTGAAAATCAAACTTGGTCAGTATGGTCCAATGGTCCAATATTTAAATTGTAGTATATTTAAATAAATATGCATATGTTACTCAGTTAGTTGAATGTATTTGTCTCCGATCAATACTTATTTACTGATGGAGGGAATGAGTTGTCGGTAGAAGGGAGTCATATCTACTTAGGATCACCTTTGATACCACCATACGTAACCTGAAAATAAATTGTTTCGTAGTCGGAATACTATGCTGCAGAAGGCGTCAATGAGTGTTGAATCACTCAGTCACTTTTCGTGTAATTGATCTTATGATGTATTACAGGTTTGATGGCGAGCTGACATTAGTTAGAGAGCCATTGGTAAAAGCGTGTAACCAAGCAAATCCTTGCAAATTAACATTTGATAACTTTAGACTTATTGTTTACTCATGGTGATTAGCTACTTCAAGTACTGTCGTTTCGGAGGCATTTTTGTTCAAACTAGACCTGTTTAAATGAATCCATCTCGCTCAGATTGTGTCTTCAAGAAAAGATTTAAACACATAAGAAGGTTAACCAGTGTATCCCTGGTGTTTACCTTAGATGTGTTTGATTGAAGAAAGGAGTTATTTTGGAGAAAAAGTGTGCGTTAAGTTAGCTAAATCAAGTTGAATTCAAGACAGTATCGAAGCTTCTGTATCGGGACATGATGCACCAACAGAGATCAATGATCTGGGCCAAGTGAAAAAAACAGACAAACAAACGATATAATAGAAGGACGTTTGACAAGTTCCTGTGGATAACAAATGGTATACTCCTTTAGAAGAAATAAATCTCGTGGCTCACTTGCGTAGTGAATAAATCTTTGGCATTCAGAGTGGCTTGATTTATGGGGAAAACATCATTCTATGGAATGCAGACAGATTCAGCTGAGAAGTCAGATTAGGCAAGACATGCACCCTGATTCCACGTAGATTATTTTTAAAATAACCCTCTTACAGATCACGTTATGATTCCTTTGGGTCTAGAGTGGAACATAGGCTTTTTCTTGATCTGACCCCGATTTCCCCCCGTATTTTCTCATCTCCACTCTCTTCGCGATCTCCTCCGTGTCACCCTTTTCGTATTCATGGTGAAGTCACCCTTTTCTTTTGGTTCTTCAAATATTTTTAAATGGCTGAATGGAAATTTCAATTAAATTGAGATGGGATCGACAAAGTGTTAGGCACCTTAACATTTTATGCATATTTCATAATAATTATTTTTTTTAATAATCCAATTGTCTGTTTAGACAATATCACTCCGTCCGGTGTTTAGATCAATTCATCCAGGCTAGAAAACACTACACTGTTTGAGTGCTTTCCAACCAATCATATCAGTGAATTGATAGTATATGCTAACATTCACTTGTACCTCTTATCTTCATTAATATTAACGGTATCAAGTAGATCACATATTGTGATGTAAAAACACTTTGGATTTCTAGAGGAAACTGTGATGAACTATCACCTTGAACTGTGTGTAATCTACAATTCATATACTTTTGACTGGACGCTAACTAGCGTCATATGTCTAGTCCTTTGTTTACTGCAGATTGAATTCTATAAGTCAAGTTTGCAATGCGGCCACCATGCCAGGTGACTCGTCATCACTGTACACTCAGCATGGTTGGGGGCAATCTGCAGGGTGCTTTGGACCGCATTGCCTGATAGAATTCACTCTGCAGTAAACAAGGGACTAGATACATGACACTAGTTAATGTCCATTAAAAAGTATCTTATGGAGTCCTAAGGAAGGTCGAACGCGAGCCCTAATAGCTCAGTGGTAACGTCTCTGACTGCAGCACTGGGTGACACGGGTTCGAATCTCAGAAGGGAGACATGAGTTCCCTCAAGACTGCAGATGTGCCTTGCTGACGAGTAACAACTAGCCCGAAACCTAGGTCTAAGACTTCCTGCTGATTGCCTCCAGTCATCTAATTACAAATTGTATGTTTAACCCTACAACAATCTTTAAAATAATGGTTATAAATAGAATCGATGGTTTAATGGTGGGATGGTCACCAACCAAGTGAGTTTTATTCCCGGCCGATGCACTCCTCACTCTCATCTTGCCTATTTTACTAGCCGACAGTAAGCCTTTCAAAGGGCAGCTGTTCGGTGTAGGGATGGAAATACCACTGCTACTCAAAATTCAAAACCTTAAAGCCCTGTATTCCACAAGGAAGTATGAATAATGAATGGGATCAATTATTTCAGCATATATTTAATGCTTTAATAGGATCAGCAAGAAATTGTAGTTATCGACTGACAGATCCTAAATGATAACTGATATCTTGATCTGGTCTGTTCTTCGGGAGGTTTAATTGAAAAATCATTTTATTATAGTTCCATCATGAAATAATTTGGCGTTTCTTTTTGGAGTCGGTGGCGCAGCGTTAAAATGCTCGCCAACCACACACATGGTCCAGGGATCGATCCCCGGCCAACGCAGTCCTTTGCCTCGCTAAGCTAGTAATATGACTGGTAGAGAGAAGGTTGAACATGAGGCTATCAACCCTATTCCTTAAAAATAAGTACCACTGCTACCGACCTACCAAGCCTCTAGCTTAATGCCCTATGTTCCACTGGGAACGTAAAGGAATTAAAAAAATGAAATAATTAAACTTGATAAAATTCACAGTGAGTTATACACTATTATTTATCTGCTGATGTTATTTCGAGCAAAATTTATTGCTCATATTACTTTCAAACTTTGTTAATTATTTCTTATCCTTTGACTTTATCTCTAAGAACATTCATCCATGCCTCTTGTTACCGTCATCCCTGTTACATGTTTTAGGTGTAGATTTGATGAGTAATGAAGGATTCCGTCACCTGCCTCCTCCTATACCTAACTACATTACATTTTAGAACTGTAGTTCTGTCCCACCTTATTGTGTGATTCTGTGTTAGTCTATGTGTTGTAAATGCTGAATTTTCTGTCTGAGTTGTTCATCTTTTCGATGTGAATTATTACGCCCTTAGCGAGACTGTTTAGTCCCAATAACCTGACTAGTGCCAGCCTAATGCTCTGACCTGTATTTTTGACCGCAGAGTTATCGCAGGGTATTGCGTAGATGTAGTTATCTTGTCTAATTGGGACAATGGGATCTTTTAGACTACACAATGAGTTGATAGGCTTGGATACCTACATACGGATTCCGATGTCATTTTTGAATATTGTTTCATTGCAAATGCCTTGAATACCTTTATGTTTATGTTGTGTTCGATAGTTACACTACAGTTATTTTTAGATTCTTCTGTGATTTCATGCATTTACTAATAAATTCTATGGGATGGTTATTTAGCATCAGTGTTCCTTCCTTCCGTCCGTTTCACTTCATTACTTGGGTGCTCGTTGTAACCTTAGTATTCAGTACTCTGTCACTGTGTGTTTTTGATCAAATAAAATAATTATATGATTGAATTTTACTTTATCATAATGCCCAGATGCTATTCTTGTACCTATTTTATTATAAGTATTTACCAAGTAAGTATGGCCTAAATAATATATGTTTTTGATTTTGGATATGTATGGAGATTTGGTCAATTTCATTACAGGTTTCGCCACAAAACGACACGTCAGTAGGTGATTCCGTCCAAATTAAGGGACAATGGGTAGCTGTTGTGTATTAGCTAGGAACTTTTCAGTGAAGAGCAACCACAAGCCTACCAAGAACCAAGCCCTTTCACAAAACAGTTATTGATTAGTTGAAATTCAAAGATCCTTCAATTCTTATTTCTGTCAATTCACAATATATATATATATATATACATAATAAGCTCAGACTAATTAATTCACAATATAACCCGACCATCAGCTAATGCCATAGATGAGTGCCGGTTTCACATCCAAGTTGGTGGAGATAGCTACCCAATAATCCTCAGAGAACTTCGGAACATTCATTCTGAAGTGATCCGCTAATCGATGGGCTAATTAGGATTTTGGCTAATTTCACTGTAGATATTGTCCTGAGCTGGCACATAAATTAGAGAGTCAGTAGAATCCAAGGAGCCCTGGATAGTCTTTTAACCTGAAGGTCTTAGGTCTCATTCTTGTTCGGAAGTGGGTGTGGGCACGCATTGCTAAAATGTCACTAAGTAAAACTGAGTATTTTTTCATTATTATTTCAGTTTCACCAGAAAGTTGTTCTGCTATAATGGACAAGAATA